CATGCTGTCAATTATTGAGTTTCGTAAAACAGGGCGCAAGTGCGTTTAATGGGCCCCTCTGATATTACATCCCTTCCTGGAAAACTATGCCAGCAAACGGTGACATTTTTATTTCCTATGCGGAGGAATTTTCATTTGTAAAAATGCAAGAGTAAGATATGTCAAAAATGGAAAAAAACTGCACCCTTCATTTAACCTTTTTGATTTACGACTTGATTAACACCACCGCAATTTGTCTACTTCCCGCCAGCGTTAATTAAATTTTTGAAAAATTCAGCTACTTGGATAAAGACGTGCGTCATAAACTATGTGCGGTGTGCACTTAAGGGAAACGAACGTTGCACACCTTCCCAGCAGAACCACTGCATCAGTGCCATATGTCGATTGAAGAATTGTCGCGTCGGTGAAAATCAAATCAGTTCGTACCGAAAAAGTCCTGATGCCATTCCCCTTTCAAATTCTGCAGGCTGTCCAATTTGTTTGTTTCAGAAATGGTGCATGAATTGCGTTATTTTTGCAAAAAAATTGCATTCTGATAAATTATTCATCATTTCATGCATTTTGAATTCTACTGTTTTAAATACTTTATGAAATATTTTTACGTAATATTTGTAGTAGAAAAGCGGCTAAGGAACAGCTTGATCTGTCTTTGCTAACCATCGGGTAGTCGTAGATCTAGTCCCTACGCACGTAGAAAGAGGAGGATGAGGTCAAAAGACGTCGGGAACGGATGTGAATGAAGTTCGGTATTTGCCTGCCTGCTTTCCCGGAATGCTCAATTCAATCTCGGGCCCGTTGATTGAACTCCACTTGACTCCACCACCGCGGTGGATGAAGATGGTGCATCTAAGGAGTAGCTGGTGTGGGACAGAAAATTGGAGAGAAAGTCCCAGCTCTCCCCTTTCTCCGCCCATCCCGTGAAAACAACAGATGACAAAGGAAACCTGCCGCAGAGAGAGCGAGAGAGAGAAGAAAAATAGGGAAGGAATTTATTTTTTCTGCATCAGAAAATTAAACTGGTGCTCGAGTTGGTTAACGGTGCCATGAATGAAATAAGCCTGAGTCAGGTTAAAATACCTCTTAAAAAATTGTGTACCTACATTTACAATCAATGAGATGCTAGTTTAACTGTGCTGTAATTGAGGCTTGGGAGAAGATGAGCATTGCAGTATTTTCAAAGAAAGAGACACATCTGCTTCTTTGGAATATCTGGTGTCCATAACTGAGCCGACATGAGGAGGCAAGCTTTCCCAAATGAAAGAAAAGATAGAAATGGTCCATTCTGAGAATCGGTGGGGATGGTCATCCATGAAGAGATAATGAAGAGGATGACCACTCCAGGATGGGAATGGCATCATCAACAACGGAGAACAGAAGGAGGAAGGGGAAGAAACAGACTGTGGCGGCTCCGACAACTTTCACCAAGACAAAGATGTCTAATTCAATTTCTCTCAACTTTCTCTCCATTTTGCGCTTGGGGGAGATCCTGATCACGATGGATAGTTGGAGCCTACTTACAATGGTTGCAACAAATGATAAAAAAGTCATTGGGCGATATTACAAAAATAAGTATATTTCGGAACATAGTGTTTAACACGTATTGAAATAAACCGTCGCAAACGCGCATACGGAAGTAGCTTCAGACGTACTTCACCCCAAACGGTCGCACTACAACTCGGGAACACTTAATTTCACTCTATTTCACCTATAGATTATTTTTTTGTAAAAATCTCATTTTGCCCCGACCACACCCCCTGGCGACGAGGGGGTGTGGAACAACTCGGGAACACTTAATTTCACTCTATTTCATCTATAGATTAATTTTTTATAAAAATCTCATTTTGCCCCAACCAAACCCCTGGCGCCTAGGGGGTGTGGCACAACTCCGGAACACATAATTTTACTCTATTTCACCTATAGATTAAATTGCACTAAAAATCTCATTTTGCCCCAACCACACCCGCTGGCGCCGAAGGGGTGCGGCAAAATCGGGGAAACACTCAATTTCACTTAATTTCATTTAATTTCACTCAATTTCACTTAATTTTACCCATAGAATAAATTGCACTAAAAATCTCATTTTGCCCCAACCACACCCCCTGGGGCCGAGGGGGTGTGGCACAATCGGGGAAGCACTTAATTTCACTTAATTTCATTTAATTTCACTCAATTTCACCTAATTTTACCCATAGATTAAATTGCACTAAAAATCTCATTTTGCCCCAACCACACCCCCTGGCGCCGAGGGGGTGTGGCACAACTCCGGAACACATAATTTTACTCTATTTCACCTATAGATTAAATTGCACTAAAAATCTCATTTTGCCCCGACCACACCCCCTGGCGCCGAGGGGGTGTGGCACAACTCCGGAACACATAATTTTACTCTATTTCACCTATAGATTAAATTGCACTAAAAATCTCATTTTGCCCCGACCACACCCCCTGTCGCCAAAGGGGGTGTGGTCCGGTTGCCCCCAAAAGTTGATAGGATCCTCCCCCTGGGGTCCTATGTATGATGGCGAAAACCGATTTCGATTATCTCGATCCGTTCTCCTGATATCCTGCTGACAGACAGACGGACAGACAGACAGACAGACAGACAGACAGACAAAGTCTTCACATAAAGTAGCTGAAGCTACTTAATAAGTATTGTATTTCTGCGTATATATGTACCCGTGCATGCATTTGTACGCAGATTTCACGCAACTTTACAAGCTGACTTTGTAGAAATCTATATAATTGTATGCGTTAGTGGTTTGGCAGGAATATAGATTTTGGCAAGAGCAGCTGGTTAGAAGTATGATAAGTATTTACGTCTCCGCCCTTCGTTTCGGCAGCAGCAAACCTAAACTTCCCAACTCATTAAATTTCCAAATACCTTCAACCTACTGCAACCCTGCATGCATTGGTTGCAAAGTAAACAACCCCACAATTTGGCACAGGCCGACGCTGAACGCAACTTGGCCACTATATGTACACTAATTCATTGCCATAATATTCTGTGTGATGAGTATGCAATTCCCAAAATGTGAACAGTTGATATAACAGAGAGATGGATTCTCTTCGTTTGTACTGTCGTTGCAAATAAATTGGCCGTGAACCTCAACTTCAACCACTGCTTTGCTGCTGTCCTTGTGACAGAACGTTTGTGAACCATAAAATGAAAACGTATAGTCATTTGCTCAATTTGCCGTATAATTGTGCGGTTGCATGCGAATATGTATAGAAAATTCCCAAACTCATTCAGTCAAAAATTCAACTTTCGATAAACAAATCATGTTTCTCCTTAATTTGCAGAATTTTAAATGCCTTCCTGGAAAAAAATGGAAAAATATGCCATAAAGCATGTATCAATTCGGAAGGATGTAGTGAAAAGTTTGTGTAAATTCCAGCCCAATTTGTCGCTGTCATGTATACGTTTTCGTTCGGCTGTCATCACGATCTGGGTTTAATTATGGGTTTACGTTAAAATGAACGTGGTAAATTTCAGTGGTGATGAAGAGTGATGGAAACATTTGCTATTTCATACATGTTCATTACTTTTAGAACTGCAATTCATCTCTGACACTTTCTACACATATACAAATCAAATACAAATCTTACACATAGCAAATTGATGTGATCAAGTGGGAACAAATCGGTAAATTATTTGCTGCCATCTTATACGCCACAGCGTATCTAGGAATTTTCTTTATTTATCTGATTTCTATTTCAGTTGCACACCATAATTGCTTCCGTCGTTCTTCATAAACCCTTTGTTTACTGATCGTGAAATCACCGAGAGGATGTTTTGATGGGGACGAGGCGATAATTTGCAACGTGGTTTTATTGCACATGAAATTTTAATGGGTTGAATTCGAACATTTGGTGTGGTGTGCTAATGCTTTAACACCTTCTGGTTCTTCTGCCAATAAAACTTTATACGCATTTTACATTCGCAAGATTAAAGTTTAGGCATGAACGATAATGCAGTAGTTAATGGCACTCGGTAATTATTCTCGTTTATGTTTGGAACTAAGATAGATAATCCGAAAATCCTGTTTTCAATTTCAGCAGACTTCAAATGAAAAAAACGACTAAAACATAGAAATACAGCCAACAAACAAACAAATATATTATATTTGTTGAATGATGGTTAATCGTGCATATGTGTGTGTATATATCTGCATGTGCCTGTGTCTTGTTGACACACGTGTGTGCCAAATTGTGCCTTTATCCTCTCTTACAAAGTTTGCAAGTGATGTTTCCTATTTACTAACTGCTTAAACTCTATACATTCAAATTGGCCAATTATTTTGACAGGTCAAACCCTCGCCGCTTATTGTCGGTTGTAGAGGTAATTATTATGTAATTCGCGTTAAAATTTAAATCATCAGATCGATTACAACGAGAGGCCAAGCATCTAAACCCTATTATAAAGCAGAGTCAATTATTCGGCACTATCAATGGAATGATGACTTCACCAAGCACACACGGTAGCTTTCTGTCTCCCTGTAATTACCCACTGCCACCGATGCTTTCTCCAATTGTACTGCTTCACTGAATACAATACTCACCCTCAAGCAAGAGCAAGGTAATAATTACCCGCGTCGTTGCCGTTGCTAGCAATTTTCTCGGCAGCAATACCAATTCCATAAAAACACCCATCTCATCAAGACTCCTTGTTCTTTGAGAGTACGTCGTGTCCGTACGTATGTAACTGTCTGCACCCCTCTGATCATGTTTTCACCATCCCTCCAAATTAAACCCAAGATGGATAAAATCGTCCTCTCTACATATATACGTTTTCCTATCAGGGGGTAAAATTTTATTTTTAACGAGCACGTAGACAACGTTCACTTTTAGCCAGATACATATACATCGTTGTCCTTATTCTTGCTAAATTGTATTATCCTGAAGAACCGGATCTTCTTTAACATGTTTACCAAAATCATTCCTTTCCCAATGAAAGGCTGGATAATAGAGAAGAGGAAAGAAGGAAATAATGAACTAATTACCTGATGAGCTGACCACGAAAAAGAGAAAGAAGTAGGAAGTGGACATCTCTCGTCGTCTGCTGCTCCCAGGCATCACGTAATTCATAAGTCAACAAACGAGCGGAGAAGTTGTGCTTGACTTGACTCCGAAAATTAATTTACTTTCTTTCTTTCTCCTTGGCTACATTTGCTTGGTTTTTGTGTTTCTTGAGGAGAAAGTAGTTCTCTGAGTTAGATGTATGCACTTGTTGTTGGTCTGATCACCTTTTCACTCGCTGACAACCAAAGTGATATTCCAGGCTAAAAAGTAGTATTTTTGTTGGAGTCTTGGCCGCGTACTAGAATTGTGAAGAAGATGATGGAGAAAGTGAGATAAGATTGTCCACTCTTATCTTGGGATGAGCAATGGAGCTCATTCAGGTTGATAAAAAGAGATGATGGATGAGGCTCGACTCAGAATTATGTATGTAGTCGGCCATTTCGATCCTTGTACGACTGTCGTAATAGACGAGAGACGACTGGAGACGGAGCTTATTTGCTGTCACTTGGCCACACACTTGTCACAGTTTTCACAAAAACTAAGTGCGTCTCGTCTTGTGCTTTGCGTACTTTAAACTTTTGAGGGAAAGTTCATCTGAAATGTATAAAAACGAGGATAAATTACAATTTGGGCTTCATGATGGTGAAAGTTTAAGTTGGTGCCAAACTACCCCAATATATTCTTTAAAAGTTCATATTTATTGTGATTTATGATCTTCACATGTGCATTATGTTGCATTAGAACGCTACTCTTCGCCCTGAGCGTCATAATGAAAATAAAAACAGAATAATCACGTTTTAAACATAAAATGGAAACCTAACTTACTGGATGTACATACATAAACCAGTCCTTCGTGACTACGACGGTTGGATGGAGGTACAAATACAAGAGGGGTCATATTTAGTACATACTTCTTTTATTTTCTTAAGAAAATTAAGTGTGTTCTGGTTAAGAAAGGTCTGGTTTTTGGGGAGGAGGATATCTCTTGGCCAACAACTTTTACTCATTTTCTCAGTTGTCTTTAACAGTTTGGTAGCTAAACCAGGTTTTAGGACAGACGACGTGGAAAACTGATCTGTCTCAAAACTGCAGTGATGACTTACTCGACTGACTCAAGTGAGAACTTGGTAAACAAATAAGAGCAAATTCTTGTTGAGCTGTATAGATTATTTGCTTGGGATTAAGTTTGGTTTACTTTTCAGGTCCTGCTTTTAGACGGATTTTTATGATTTTTGTTAACTAAAGTGGTATATTTTACAAGGAATTAAAGCACTACTAAATTTGTACAATTTTTGAATAATGCAAATTGAGCATTAATCCTTAATTTTCCGTATCATAATAAAGAAGATCAAACTCATGGGTTCTTGTAGCTTGACCCATAAAATACATTTGTGAAAAAAGTAAATGTAAACACAACCATGCGAGCAGAACGGAGAGGATCAAGTTTCTCAGAAGAACAAGAAAACGTTAATTTTTTCCAATGCCCTGGGAAGCAATATTGTCTCATCTAGCTTAAACAGTGGCAGCCTTTCTATTTGTCTGCCACTGTTTTGAGCCGCAATTAGTCAAGCAGTTAAAACGCAACCGGACACTTTGCAGGGAATCCCTCGCTCAAGAAGAAGGATCTCCTTGAATTTTCTTGGTTGATGATGACAGGCAAGAAAATGAGTAAGCACGGCAGCTGCTGTTTAATCTTATGTCAACCACTCGTGTAATTTCATTAAGAATCTGTGGTGTGTAGTTTTGTCCGATTATACATGTAGCCTAACAGCTTATGTACATATGTATGTGTATATGCAAAGGAATCAATGCGAATAATACTAATCAGTAAATACTTTATGCTGGCTATGTCTTATCTAAATGTGGCATTTTATTTTATAGTCTTCAGATTTGTCCCGTCTTTAATTTCTACTAATCCTATGCATGCATATTTATAAATTGTAATGCCTAATTTTATTCTCGAACTTTGAGATGTATGAAATAAATTCATGTCTTTATGAACGCTGCATGTTGACAATGTTCTAAGGGTAACCTGATACTTACATGATAAAGTTGACGATAAATTTTTGTCGAGTGTTTATTTAATTTTTAGAAACGAATCGATCTCACAGATATCGAATGACTTTATCAAGTGAGCAGGAGTCATCACCTCGATAAATGCAGGTTATCATTAAACATACAAAATCTCACAGTGACTGCATAATATGTTTGTATGCGCATGATGTTCATATAATGATGCTTATGTATAAACTCACCTTTATCAGTAGTTCAGTTTCACCAACTTTTTTTGGTTTAACTTTGCACACTTTAACAACACACATAAGTTTCCCCCATTATAAAGTACTTTTTTTCTTCAATTTGTATCTCACAAAAAAATGATTTTCAAACTGATTTCTCAGTAAAATACTTGTGAAAATTTCTGCGTGCGTATCAATCGAGTAAAAATTACTGATTTTTTAAACGCACCGATTCACTCTTACATGCATACGCACTCAACCCTCCGTAGCAGACCTAACATCGACTTGCATTCTCTTCTTCACACAAACCCTGAAAAAGGACTGAATGGCTGAGAGCAACTGCAGCCACTTTTCTCCTGTTTGGCCGCAGTCAGTAGCAGTAGAATAGATTTCATCCATGTACCCGGATTTACTGAGAGTTTACGTCTTCCGTGGTTGCATTGCATAACCAAGCCTTTGTTGGGATTCATGATTTTGTTCACCGAATCCGGGAAACGATGATGGTCAGTAATGGTCAGTAGTCATGTCAGTGCAAGGACGTATTATAATAATAATGCAATACAATGCACATTACGTCTCACTTGGTTGAACAAAAGCGCATTGAACCAATCACCCATGGTTCACAATGAAATTATAATTCAGACAAGCAACGCAACTTTTGATATAAAATTTACCAATACCGCAAGGTTAGACTTTTACCGTTTTTTGTGCCTCGAAAATTTAGAGAATCATATTAATATTATAACGAAATTTGACTGATCTTTAATCCAATGCAATCGTGGAGCCTCTGCTGTTAGATTCGCCATCCATTTCATTTCACATATTATCTGTTGTTGTCCTGCATGTAATGCTCGTAGTATTTTTTTTCTTTTGTCGTATGAAGGTACACAGAACTTATAAGTCGGAACGTCAGCGGTGTCAATCTTATTCTCGGTTCTCTGCGATAAACTTTTTCCGCTGGAATGAAATGAAACGGGAAGCTTGAACGTTGTCTGAATTGTGATTAACTTTTCGAACTGGAATTTTTCTATGAGGAGGACACGCACGATTGCTCAAGTTCTCAAAGTGCAAGTCCAGTCACTGGTCAAGCCATGAATGACAGAATGCAAGCAAAGAAATTGTTATGCTGACAATGACATTGAAATGTTCGCTCACTTTTGATCTAGCCAACATGTAAAAAATACAATACTTTTGTGACCTTAGGTGAGTTTTTTGGGGGTGAAGTGTTTCCTTCTCCAAGATACATATTGATCAAACTATGCATTGTTTGTATGATTATGAAAATATTTTAAAATGGATATGTAAGCAAAATAAATTTATAATACAAAGAAAATGACGCGTTAAGTTTGAAGATGGGCAAAATCGGTCAAGTGGTTGACCAGTGGGGGTCATAAAGGTCGGGTGGAGTTATTGGTTGTAGAAGGCTTATATTCGGGACATTCGTCATATTTGCGTACTAATGTGAAAATACAATGTCGTAACGACCAAATTATTATTTAGAATGACCCATTGGTTTTCTAAAATGGTCGTAGAAGGCTGAAATTTGGCACGATCCTGCAGAAGTAGTAACAAATATAAAATAAATCTTAAGACTTTTTTCAGGACCCAACGGAGCGACCCACATTGCTATTTGAAATTGGTAGAATGAAGATGAAATTCAGTATCATGGCTAAGAGCACATCAGCCTAAAAAATATTAAGTGAAATTTAGGAAAATTTTTGCGAGGGGAATCCAGCAGGGTCACCCATACTGGTTTTTGAAATAGCTGAGATTTTTCACTTTGAATTATGGGAAAATTTTTGAGGATTACGAGTAATAGTTGTATCATCTGACAAAAATTTAGAAGCGTACTCTGAGCCTGACTCGGCCTAGATCAACACTGCACTGTAAATATATTTTCTTTTTATATTTATTTCATGATTATTGCACGCTGTCAATTATTGGGATCCCACCCAAAGCTTTTCTCCAGTCTTTTATGTAAGTAAATATGGACGAACAGTATTATGTGCATAAAGGTAGCAGGAATTACGTATGTACATTAGCACTCATACGGTGCTTAAAACTATCTATTTATGTACCAAACTCTCCAATGCATACATACGCCCTTAAATGTCAAAAAACCACAAACATCTTCAAAATCCAGGATAATTACCCCCATCAAACTTTTAAGCTGTGGTAATATTAATATTCTGGTGACGAGTTCCTTCGGAGGTTTCAGAACTAATCCACCCAAAACTAAACCACAGTTACAACTTTGCACACACGCAAGAAGCTCGCTCACGGGTCTTAACTTCAAACTCCAAAAAATCTCCAAAAACAAAGTAAAACGAAAATATAAAAGTGTCCCCCCATGAAATTGCGTCTGCAGAAATTAATGCGCTAGTTATCCCGGAGCATGAACATTTGACGATAATCTCCTTTTAGCATTTGGCTACTGCAGGTTATGTTGGGATGTTGTCTGGCTTAAGAAAATATTATTTAGGGGAGCTTTGTAGGACGAGGAAACTAAATAAGTAAGAGAAATATACGCCTCGCATGTATGTACATACTTCGAAAAAGAGATGAGAGACAAGTGACCGCAAGTGTACGGTTTTATGGGAGTGTTGATATCTGTAAGTCTTCTGAGCATGTGAAACAAACAAATAAAATCTACATACATCCATTTAAATACTGTTTGAAGATTCTAAAATTAATCGACAATTTCAATAATGAAGACCATTTTATTTTTATTTGAAAAAATAATCCCACATCCTATTTTATTATTTAGAAGAGATACAGATGAGATCTGTTAACCTTAAACCAGATCCACGTCAACCCGAGACAGCACAATTTCATCCAAGTTGAAACAAATATGCTAATCTGCATAAATAAGAGTAAGGAAGCGTGTTTGAATTCCCCCGAGATTGAGATGTTTGGTTTCATGGTTTCAAGGTCTCATGGTCTCATGTTCATAAAGCTTCCTGCTTTATTTAATTTTGCCGTGGGGGTTGAAGCGTTGAGGGAAGAGGCGTTTGTTGAGGATAATTGGTCACAATGAGATGGAATCAGAGACTTGTCTTACGCAATAACGCATGTCTGTTCAAGATCCCACTTTAATATCTGAGTGAAGAATGTGCAAAACAAAAAATATTGCGCAAAATATTACATGCGCAAAGATATATGGCCCTTGGTTGTTTTGGCATCGTTGAACAGTTGGCATCAAGTCTATGGACGTTCCTCATTTGTCTGGAGAGTTAAGGTAAATCTTTCCCCTTGTTTTCTTCCTATGTACTTGCGAACTTTCTTTCTTCAAATACGTTTTCTTCCTTATCGTTCTTCAGGGGACCATAAACCACAGGCTACGGTTTGAGCCAAGGTTTTAACTTGAACTTCTCATTTACATCCAGCAGCACTCCTCAGGGCACTTCTAATTCACTCCATTTCTCTTATTTGACTCAAACTAAGGATGGCACAAAAAGTAATTGTCATTGTCATAAGAAATGAGATAAGTAAAATTAAGCCGGCTTCCTTGATCATCTCAATTAGTTTGGTCTCCTTCATCCATGATAACTAGAAGAATTTTAATAATTCAAATAAATAATACCCTAAGATTTTAAGAAACTGTTAATGAACACTGAAGAAAAAAAATATTAAAAGAAATTGCAATGTATATTGTACAACAAATTTGTCCAGCAACGTGACAATATATAAAAGTGTAGTAGTTGAGGATGACGCAACGTAAAAGTGTAACATAAAATTATGCATTATTTACTATTACCCGACAAAAGAAGATAAACTGTGCTCATTTGGTCTCCTTATTCAAATTTCAGTCATAAAATTCAAATGAGTGAGAGAACCCATTGCGAAAGACAGATCAAGTTTCGCAAAGGATGTGAATTTCTCTCACAGAAAAATAGAAATAGTTCACGGTGGTCCAAACAATATCAGTTTTTGTTACGCACAAATAAATAGTTTCTCTTCAAAACGGTTGTACACATTCTTCATTCATCACTCACATCACACAAAATGTATATATTTATCTACAATCCCGAAAATGAATAAAGACAAAAATGTTACTTTGCTCACAAACATTGCTCACTAGACCACAGCGACAAACAGCCCTGTGAATGGGAGCTAATCAAGCAAAATATTATGGAAACGGACCTTTTTTTGTAGAATGAATAGCCACGTGGCGAAACCCATTGATCTCTAAAATAATGTTGATTGCAATTGTCAGTCATTCATATTTATAAATGAGTAGTGCATATATTTAAATACAGTATACTTCATATACGCATAGATGTGTGCTCTGATTTATTCTTATACAGAGAATTTCGCTTCCTTCCTGCCTTTTAGTTATTGTTTTGTACAATCTATGTACTACACATTTCTGATGATAGCCATCTCTAAATGTTTGTATGTAATATATGAAATACAGTCGCATAATAAGCATACGAATAAAATAAAAATAAGCCGCATCAATATTTACTGATATAGATCCAGATTATAAACGAACAAACAGAATGTGCCAAGCCAGTGCAGGATTTGTACATATCCATCGATCCATTTATCGCTTATCTTGGTCCCTTGGGTTTGTTTATTCATTTTGATTCACAGTGTTGATCAATGATCTACTTCGGTCTGCATGACATAAACTCTGGCATTATGGGCTGAGGCTGAGCAAGGCGAGTGGTCCTTTTACTTGCCCACGTCTTCAATCATTGTCAAAGAGACTCAAAAACTGTAAAGTCAGCTAAAAATGTATATATTTATGTACACACATTCTGCATTCTGTATTTAATAGGACATGAGTACTGTTAAAAAATCTCTGCTCACGATTGATTGAAGCTGAGTAAGTTTGTGTGTGTCAACTTCTACGCATATTTAGAAAGGGTACCCTCGCCTCATCATCACCAAATATTAAAAGGAAATTAGCTGTTTCCCATCAATGAAACGAGTGAGATTGTCCTCCACAGCAGCAAAAAGGAATCATGTACATTATGCGGAGTGTGATTATGGGGAACGATGCCCTGCTGATACAATGAAGTCAGTTTAGCTCGTTGACAATAATAAGGGTACTTGGTTCCTAGTATGCGTCTAAGGGTTCATTTTCATTTCAAAACCCGAGTCGAGATGTGTTTGTTCCATTATTACGTAAGCTGTTTTAATGTTTGTCTAGTCAGATCAGATGCAGCCCTCTCTTCTTACTCCAACCAAACCAACATTACACCCCCGGACAATGCAAGTGACACTGAGAAAGAATAGAACATCTGCCAAAGTACCCACCCATTCAGAAGGATCCACCCAACAACACACTCGGCAAG